CCTCATCCTGCGAAGAAATTACCCGCCGTTTCAGGTCGTTCCTAGCGCGGAAAAGCAGAAGAAACCGTCCAAATGCAAGTGGAATGAGACAAGAATGAAGGAAACGGGGAGAACGGCGGTACACAAATAAGACAAATATCAAAAACGTCCTTGAAACTCGCTGAGCTGCTACTGCTACGGCGGCTTGTGCTCCCGTTCCAAGTCAAAGTCGAACAGTAGCGTGCTCCCGCTCGTCTTCTAATATGAACATGCCCGTCGACATTGGTTCCCCATTTTGTGTGTTAGTAGTATTATTTATGAGAGTCGGTCGAGGCGAAGGAGTCACGGGGGCGGCATTCTGTGTGCTTTGGTAATGGAAGGCAGCCCCCAAAACGAAAAGAAAAACAACCCGAATCCCGAGGCCCCGAGAGAGCGACGACATTGGACCATCGACGGGCAAATCCAATGTCGAGAAGCAACAAGTATGCAAATATTTCCCCCCAAAATCAATAACTCGGAAGTCTCTCGGATTGACTGGCGACGACTATTTCTCAAAATATTTAATATTGCTCACTCACGCTCATCGCACAAGGGAGGGGGGGGAGTCCGCGTTTGTCCGCGGTGCCAATTGGCACTTTAACCCGATGTGATGGTGCCCCCTGAAGAAATGAAAAAAAAAATAAAAAGTTGCACAGAGCGGGAGAATGAGCGAGATGAGGACGTGTTTGGAAAATGTACTTTTTTATGTATTGATAATGAATACATGAAAAGCTGCCCCGACACTGTGGTCGTAGAGTCGATCGAGCGACCAGGCCAGGCGCAGTTGAACACCACCAAAGCACCGTCCAAACAGCCAGTGAGACGTAAGCAGTTTTATGTGCTCCCAATCGAATTGCCTTGATGAATGGGGATGAGCTACGGCTGAGTTCAGGGGTTTATTTTTATTTTTATTTTTTATTTTTAATGGTGTGATTGCTGGTCCACAAGTGAGTGCCAACGAAAGGGAGCCGACTCCATACCTGCACTAGACTGATGCAAAATTTGACTTTTTCGCTCCACAATACTTAAATGGTTTCAAATTGGGTCCTGATTAGCCTCCCAAAGTTACAACTCATTTGGTTAGAAACAGACTTCGCACAAGCCATTTGAAGTTTGCATGTAAATTACTATGGGAAATCTCAACTTTTTGTTCATTGCCTTCTAGTCTTTTTCCATATTGAGCTGCGAAATAGTTCGATAGCCATTCTTATAGAAAATTTTCGCAGCTACAACTTTGCTGAAGATCGTTTCTATGTAAAACGAGACAGGAAAAAGTTATTAATTATTTAAGAGATTGGTAAACTTATTACAAACTTATAGCTGCTCTGTAGGCAACACTGTATTTTGCAGTGTGACATAGTAGCCATGATTTTTGTGTCCTTTTCAACGCCCCAGAAACACCAATGTTGCCTGCTGAGCAGTTGATTGAGCATGATCATAAGACATCAGCGCATTGAACCATTGATAACTTTCGATCCTTGTATTTAATCAAAAAGTGATCTTCAGCAAAGTTGTAACTGGGAAAATTTGCTACAAGTACAGTTGAAAGCTTTTGAAGTAGACCGATATGGTGAATTATTAGATAGACATGAACAAAAATCTTAGTTTTACCATAGTAATTCCCATACAAACTTCAAATGGTTTCTGCGATCTCAGTTTCTCAACAAATGGGTTCAAATTTTGAGAGGTTAGTCAGGATCCGATTTGGAATCGTTTAAGTATTGTGGAGCGAAAATTTCAAATTTTGCATCACTCTAACCTGCACGCTAGAACTGCTTTCGCGAATAAAAGCTCAATCTCGTAAACAAAACGGAAACCAAATAATAGAGGAATCCTCGGAGGAAAAGTTCCTCTACCTGATTGTGTTATTAGTTTTCGAGATTGCGATTTTAAACGCGAGAAATCGGCGATTGACGTGCTTGTTCACAAAAGCAATTAGCAATATGCATATTCATCATGAATTGACAGTGAATTTTCATTTTGAAATTCACGGTTAAATCTAAAACAATTCCCGGTTACTTATTAGTTATTTTCAGCAGAAAAACGGAATTAAGTGTTTAAATTATACCAGAGATAAAGGGTGTTACGATCAAAATTTGGTCAAACAAGAATGCGTGTGAATTGATTATTTTTTTTTATTAAAAGAAATATTTTTTTTTCTGTTTAAGTTCAATTAGTATAAAATACAGAAAAATATTCAGTTATCCTTCCGGTTGGCCGAAACCGAATTGCCAGGCTTTTTTTAACTCCTGCCGTCAAATTCTATACAGTCACTTCGTCCACTTAGTTCGCCACAGAACGCCAGTTTTCCTTAAACTGCTTCTCGCTTCCAACCGTTTTTTTTTTTTGGGTCTTCTTCAGGTTCCGCTTGATGATGGCCCAATATTGTTCGATTGGGCGGAGCTCTGGCATGTTGGGAGGGTTGTAGCGGTATTCTGATTAGATATTAAATTAATGTAGCATCAGTGGCGTCGCCCTAACCTCAATCTACCTGTTCAACAATTCTCAAAACGTAAACAGATGAAACAATATTGGTATCAATCAATACAAATCAATGAAACTAGAAGACCCTGTGCCTTTTGAAACTGATTAGATTGGAAAAATTACCCTAAATGACGTTTTCAAAGTTGTTGAACAGGTAAAAAGTGAGGTTACGCGACGCCACTGTGTAGCATGAAGTTCAAATGCTACAAATGTTCACTGTTACTATTCGAAACGACACGCACTATCCCAATTCACTTGCATGCAACTGGTGAACTCATATCAAGAGTAAATTATCCCTGCATGAAATTTCACTCATTATTTTGTTCTTCCGCTCACTAGGCGCGTAAGTTTTCTCATTTTTTTATCCATTAATTTATTTGTAAGGCTCAAACGCGTTGGCTTTACGGAGCCGATTCTTACCGTTTTTCATTAATTTGAAATAAAGGAGTTTATAAAATTAGTTCATTTTTTCCTAGAAGCCGGTTGTTTCGTGTTAACTTTCTCTCGTGGCCGCAGTTTTCTTCTTTGTGGAATTGAATGGAATTAAATGGAAGATAACCCTTTTTTGCTGTTTTATTTAAGCATTCCGCTAACAACCCCATTTCATTACTTCATTATGATGGCTACAAAGCCTTTGGGATTTTCTTTATTAGAGAGTTGAATAGATTTTTCTACTTTAGTTTACTTAAATCTTTGGTTTTAATTAGTTAGGTAGGTTCCGATTCAACACATTGTAGTTTCATTTTTATACCTGTGATCTTGACTTTTATACCTAGGGGATGAGTACTTAAGGGGGTAAGATTTTGATAAGTTCTTTAGTGGGAATGACACTGATGAAGACTGCACATTGTAGTCGAAATACGATGGATACCAACATTAATTAAGTGGAATTAAATGGAAGATAACCCTTTTTTGCTGTTTTATTTAAGCATTCCGCTAACAACCCAATTTCATTACTTAATTTCTTTCTTCCGTTTTCTGTGTTTCAATACTTACCTTACCAATCAGGCTAAGGCCTTGTTGTCCTCTGCTGTCCGAAGAAGTCGTCTCCACTCTACTCGATCCATGGCCACATTCTGTGTTTCAATAGCAGTTTTCAATTTCTTCGCGATCAAGAACAATGGATGGCTTTCGGTCTCAAGCTGACTTCCTCTTGCTGCTTCTTCCATGTCCATGGGGTCGTCTTATCGATAGCCATAACTTCTTCATCGAACACCTCAATAGCATCCGCTGAAGCATCGCCGGCTAAAACACCCGCATATGATGTACAATTGTACAGGTAACCACGCTGCTAACACTTTGGGCTTCGTCCGGGTCCGGGTCGTCGTTTGTTGTTTTTCTAGCTTCCTGCGAGGTTTCCGCTTTGGGCAAGAATTCATCTGGTGCCCCTCAATCTTGCAAACAAAGCACACATTCTTGTTCCCGGGATAGAACACGTTTACTTTACGGTTGAGGAAATGCAGTGATGTAGGAATTTCCTTCTTAACATCCATATATACACCGCGGATGCCAGTGTATATATCAAAACCTAGCTCGGCAGGAAATTTCTCCCTAACCACACGTTTTACCTTGCCGTATTTCCCCAGCACCAATGCTAGGTTTTTGTCAGGCACTTCAGGAGGCAGATCGTACACTCTGACATACTGAATGTATTCATCCGTATTCAACATGTGTACCTCTACTGCCTTTCCATCGTCATAACGGAAAGTTAATTGTTCACTGTTATACTCTTCGACCTTGAATTTAATAAACAAGGATTTCTCCTCTGCTACCCTGTATATAGCTTCCATCTGCATAGGATTCGCATCCAGAGTCTTTGCGAAATTAAAAATTTCGCCCATCGACGGTTTTCTAGCTCCATCGCCAAAGCTAAATTTGACGGTGTTTTTAAGTTCAACTCCATTCATTCTTGATTCTATCCACAGGATTCCACACACGACTAGCTGACTGCGGATAAACAATGTGCGCAACACACAATAGCTTGGTCGAAAAACAGACTGCCGATAGCACTATCGACACCGAGAACAAATGCTGCTGTGTCCGTCCACAGCTGAAAGCGAACTGTGTTTTCTTATTCGAGGTAGCATGAAATTTGATCCGTGGGATTGAGTATAATCTCCCAGTAGGATTACTTGTCGTCGGAAATTTAATAATAAGATAAACACTTTAAGTTAAAGATTGGAATGAGCTAGACAGATGTGGGATACTTGGGAGGAAAAGAGATATCTGATCGAATCGGAGATCGCCTTTTGATAAGATCGTTTTTCGGTTTCCGGAACGAAGGCCAAGAATTTGTTTTAGCGGCCTATCTGAGGAATCCCAACTTCTTCCTCGTCCACTTTAATCCAACCCGTGGAAGAGGCAGGACTGTGAAGTTTTTTTGAATAGTTTTGCGGAGTGTTTGTAGAGGTATTTAAAAGGTGAGAAGTGTCTTTAAATTCAGTGTAATTAATTGTTCGTTAATTTCTTTTGATTAGGTGTAGTTACTATTGAATTAGTTTAGTAGCCTAGTGCGGTACTGTGCGCGATTTAAGTTTCAACAAAAAGGTAAATTATTTGCTATGCAGTTTTGCAACAATACGCTCATCCAGTTGAACAGCCGTTTGACGGCTTTTTGTCTATAGTTTCGTCCCACCTCCCGCTCGGCATACCGCGCCGCCTCGTTATTACCACTACCCTGGCCCCACGCGTCGGCATTGAAGGACCTAACTTCGGCCGGAGTTAGAAGGGATATCACCACGCAACGCAGTTGATGAATTCTGGATCAACAATAGAAAAGGGCCCATCAGCATTTGTAAACAAACCGTTCCAAAGCCCATTCCTCACAAATCGAATGCCTCTCACACAAACCAACACCATCATCGTGTAGGTAGAAGTTTCCTCTATCCGATGATGGTGTTGGTTTGTGTGGGTGGCCTTCGCTTTGTGAGTAAAGGGCTTTGGAACGGTTTGTTTACAAATGCTGATGGGCCCTTTTCTATTGTTGATCCAGAATTAGACAATCGAGACTCGCACACAATTTGGTGAGTCCATTGTTTTCCGTGCAGCGAGCGTCGCAGGGGCGAATGACGAAGGGGAGGAGCAGTCGGTAAAGCAGAAGCGTGAGTAGAAACGTACAATGTCTGCATACATGCATTAAATCTGGATGAAGCGCGAGTTATAAATAGCCATTTAGAAAATCCGCACGGTTAGGTAGGTAATTAGAGAGAGAGTAAAGAGAAAAATGAGGGTTCCCGAATAAAAATGATTAGGTTAATAAATTTCTCGTTCCATTAGTTACGAATATAAATTCTAAATAAATGTTTTTTTTAGTTCTGCTAAATAATTGTGTTGATTGTTAGCTTAGAATTTCTCGTTAAATGTGTGCACTGGTCTGAAGAAGTTTCTCACGGTTCGTTCGTTGTTGTAGTTTTTCGTTGTTTGGTTTTACTCCAAGTCGGACTGCTTGGGAATCTCAGTTCTTCATTTCTGCCCTGAAGCGTGTAGATTTTGTGTTTGGGGAAGAGCTTGACCTGTAATGAGAACAGGTCGCCTAGTGCATTTGCTCCGGTAGACAGACGGTTTCTGATTAGTTTCCATTCGGTTGGAATTAGTGTTTTCTTTTGAATCCCAAGCACTTAATGTCTACTAGCGCGTTCCAATCCTTTGCGTTAGACTGAACTCGCCCTGGGGTTTTGAGTTTGCCGTGGATCCGAAACGACAAGTGGTCCTCAATGGAGGTGGCGCTTAAGCCATTTGTTTAAAAACCAATCTACGGAAAACCCTAGTAGACCGATTTCGACCGGCTACAGGTTCTTGTCCTTTGGCACCACCTGCACGTTGTTAGCGGCATACCGCTCAATGGTCTTTTTTTCCGTAATGGCGGGATGTAAAATTTTTAAGTCACAGGTATACTGCCGTTATACGCATAAGAGTCACACGGTACATAAGGATTCCATAGAACATGGGACAGTTATGCGCGTAACGGCAGTATAAATAGCCTGCCAAACCAGCGAACTTCAACAGTTTCATATGCTTGAACATGTTTGCCACCTTTCCCCTTCCCGTTGCCGTATAAAACACCAGCCTAGAAAGCTGTTTGAAGTCGATTTCGCTAACTCGACGTGTGAGTAGTTCAGATTTTCACGATGCGCGTGCTAAATTTTGATGCGTTGCTCCTCTTGCTTGGACCTTGGACGCCATTTTGATAACTGAAGAGCAAATTTCAAAATCAAATTAGAGTCATCATTCTGCACGCACACACCTGCAAAATGAGGGATGTTCGGGGTTTTTTTTTTAAATGCTCTATTAAAAGAAATGCGTCCAGTTTAAGCCGACCAAATTTTGATCGTAACACCCTTTACTTCGAATCAATTTAGATATTTTGTTTAAGCTAGAATCCTTTTATGATTCCAAACACCAGAATTAACAAAGTAATTGAGCCATGGATTTTTTTTTAAAGGTCACTGTCACCAGCCGAACTCTATCGGGCTAAATGGAAATTTTGGAGTGAGAGACTAAATTAAGAAACTGTTTTATACATCTTGAACATCATACGAAGATATCGGAACATGAACATGTTTTAACACATCGTGATTTGTGCTTACGACGTAATTTTTTTTTTAGAAAATTTGCGTTATTCGGAGGCTTTGACATTTGTTTAGAGTCTAATGGCATTTTTTCGAGATTTGTCATTTAACAATGATTTTGATACTGTATTCAAATGAAAAAAAAACCAGAACTGGATTTTTTAACAATCTGCGATTTAGAAAAATTCTCACAATGTGGGATTTTGAAAAAAAAAAACACTATTTGGTAGAAAATAATTTATAAGCCATGGGAAATTTGGCAGACATGGATAATTTTTTAGGGTTTCAATAATTTGAACAATTTGTCGTTACTTTAACTATTTTGTTTCTATTACTATTACTTTCTGCGTGAAATTAACGATTTAGTATATAATAACGATAGTTGAAGGTGCTAATCGTCAGATAACAGACTTAAAGTGGTCATTTTATACGATAGATCAGGAGATGAAAGTATAGAGTTGATAGTTGCCGTTAGAGTACGGCAGTGTGAAAATTGTATATAGAGAGTAGAAAGCGAGCAAGGACAACTTTGAGGAAGGTACTAATCGGGTTGATCATCTCTCTTTACCAAACTCCCCAGTTGGGGAGGGATGGTGAGGGGTATCCCCCCCGTCACCACTGGCAAAAAGAGATGATCACCGATTTGCTCATGTACCTCCGATGTGCGGAAACTGTTATATCGATTGTTTCACACTCAAATCGCCATCTGATGTAAGCATCTACCTGATTGCTCTACCCGATTCGCCCTCCACCCAGATAACGATTCCCCCTCCTTTCAGATAACAACTTGAGTGCGGTACAATCGATAGAACTGTACAATTTTTCGTTTTCGGATTTCTTTTTTGAAACACAGTTTCAGTTCAACCGTAAAACTGTATTATCTGTTAACTTGACGGAGGTTCGCAACACACTAGCTATGCTTTCAGTTGCATTCGACTTGGTCCTGGTCCTGGGTCCAACACACAACTTACTCACACATTCGCGGTCACTCCCAAACAACATACACGAAGCATCATTCGCTCACACCGGTGAAGCCAGTTTAAAGGAACTTGTGCAACCGAGTCGTTATAATTCTAAGATTAAACCCTAAGGAATTCTCAGAAGAATCCCAAGAAAGAATTCCTAGGTGGTTCTGAGGAGAATAGCAGGTGAATTTTAAGAAAAAATAGAGAGAATTATAATTAGAATTTAAAGATTGTGTTAAAGATAATTAAACAGCGATACTGAGGGATATTCAGAAGAGAATTTCAAGGATATTCTGAGGATAGTTAAAAAAATTGGGGAGAACTTACAAGAAATTCTTAAAAAATCAGAAATGAGTTCCAACGTATTCTGAGGAGAATTCTGAAGGATATCTAAGAAGCGTTTTGCGTAAACTTGAATAGACATGGATTTGCGTAAATTTTAGAGGAATCTTATCCTCAGGATAGTTTCACATAAATTCTAAGGAGGATTCAAAGGAAATTTTTTAAACGAGTTTCGAAAAAATTTCAGGATAATTACGAGAACAGTTCCAAGATAATTTTCTTTTAAGTTTTCACATATTTTTCAACGTCTAGTTTCTTGAATATTATCCTTAATACAATGCACATTACACCGGGATTAGAGCAGGAAAGACAATTTTGAAAAAAATGTCAATAACTGATGGGAATTATGCATCACAAAGAGGAAGTCTTTCTTTTGAAGAAGATTTGCTCTGTTTATCTAATTGATTCTGAAACTCTGGCGTAAACATGTATTCAATTATTTTAAGAACTGTTGGGTATTTTCAAAGTTCTTCTCAGTGAAGCAAAATCTCGACAGTACACGGTGATATTAACAATTCTGCTTTAGTCACTTATTTGATCGAACAGTAATCGTCAAGGCGAACTATGTCAATTACAGTGCTGTCAATGACGAACATGAGTAGATTTTTTTATTAACTAAATTGGTAATGAAATTAAATGACTTGAGTAACACAATTACATAGAGCCGTTAAAGTGAACAAGCATCTGCGTCCTGAACTGCTTGAATAACAATAATGTGACACAGAATCGTTGTCATTGACGAAAAAATGAATGAGATTTTAACGAAGGTTTTTTTTTTTGAGGATCAAGTCTGTCAGTGACTATGTGAAAAACATGTTTGTCAATATCGCGTGAAAGTCTGTAAATGTCAATGACAAATCTCAGAACTGGTTCTACTACATTCATTAATGTATAAATCATTAACTTATTTCGAGACAAAACTACGGTTTATCAATCTACGGGCTGCAATCCACAGGTTTCTTCATATGGCCATATTATTGATATTATTTTGGAAAATCATAACCTTACCTCCCATTAATGATGACAACAATGCACACTATAATTTAAGTGGACACCCCAACAATCAATTTGAACTGATTAAGGGCTGAGTAAGCTAATTTTTATCTGAAGAAGCATCGTTTTGTATAAATAAGCTCTTCTTTAGATTCCAATGTTTGTTGGGAGATGTTAAAGTTTATCAAATATTACCGGTTCTTCCGTCGAATTCACGGATGTTTCCTGTATTTCCGGATTAATTTTCAAATTCTCCGTTATTTTCCGAATCGTTGGCCACCCTGTTACAGTGAAAAGAAAAACCCACACAGAAAATTCCCGATTTTGGCCACATATGATTGAAGCCTTGTTGCCACAGATCAAATACCTATAGGTGGTTGAAGTGGAAAACACTAAAATTTAGCACAACATGAAACATTTTGCACGACATAAAAACTGTTGCGCGACATGCAAAACTAGCTACAATGGGCGCCAGTATCTCACTTTCCGACAGGTGCTTTAAAAAATATTTTAATTTGTAATCGTAAAATTGAACACATTGGTAGTTCTGTGGCGAACGTTTCAGCTCAATTTATCTTAGGAGAACAAAGTTACAACATGCCAAAGTTGATCATTTTGAATGAAAATCGGCATGCTATTATATCGAACTGCACTGTAATTAGATGAGATTAGATGCGATGGATTCTTCAGTGGTATCTGCCCCGAGTACGTGGAACTGAGGAAATCTACACGAAGTGAACGAAATAGGCTTATCTGTCAAAAGATAAGCATTGATAGCGGAATGAATCATGTTACCATGCTTCTGCGTTAATTTCCCTTC